TTATGCCTAATATAGCTGGTTGATAAGTTCCTTCCATATATGGTGTAGTTTAAACCTAAACTAAGTGCTTTTCAAAGAATAATGTAGCATTCAGTATTAAAACTCACAGTGACTACAGGCACATATACTTCATAAAAGACCAATAGTTAGATTTGCATGCTGACAAATTATATAGTTTTTTATTTATTTTAAAATGAGTATCATGTAAAATTAGTGCTCTGTGTGACATTCTAAAATCATCTGGTTCAAATCCTAGTCTTGCAGATGAAGAAATTGAGGCGGAGAGCAGTTCTTGTACTTGATCATTGTCACAGAAGTACCGTATTGACGAAATTATGGAGACTTAGAATTCAGATCTTCTGATTTGTACCTCATTGTTGTTCAACTGATACTGTACATTGTACTCTTAATGAAAAGTGGCGATTCTAAGTGTTACAACTCTGGCTAGTGTGCTGACAGTGGAGTGAAGGGACCATAGATAAGTGTGGAAGCAGGAAGACTAGATAAGATCTAGTTAATTCAAATGAAAAATGAGAATGGCTAGCTCCATGTGCTAATGTGGAAGTGGTAAGAAAGAATTAGGCTCTGGATATGTTTTGAAGGTAAGGCAGAATGTACTGACAGATTGCAAAATAGATGCCATAACTTATATACCATATCTCAGTGTCCCACATAGTGAACTATTTGATCCATGCTTTTCAGTACTATACCAGGAACTGAATGTGGACTGATGACCAAAGCAGATTGTTTCTGCTTTCATAGAAACCAGTACAATGGGTAAAAATCACACCATGGGAAAGTGATTCAAGTACAGTAATTTTAAAGCATTGCTTAATAGTCAAGAGTGTATTGTGTAAAAAACTGCATAGCAGTGAATTAGCTAAAAGAGAATTCTCCAGTGTAAAGAATTAGTGGAAAGGCAGGCTTGCCTCATTTGGTTTGCCTCATCAATATTAACATAGATTTTAATTGCACTGAATTCAGTAAATCCTTTTAAAAGTTTTGAAGCAAAATGTGATTACATTCTCATCCTTGTCTACTTCGGCTGAGCCAAAGGTCATAGGTTCCTCTCCCTTGATTTGTATCTCATTTGCAAAATTAAATGATAGCATGTGCTTTCCTAACATGTAGATATTGTAAGTGGATGCCAAAATAGTCCTATAAATCTTTCCTAACCAGCAGAGCAATATAACTTTCCAATTAAAGTAAAATTGATAAAGTATGAAAAAGATTGATAAGATATGACTGGTTTCAGTTATCTCTTCTAATATAAAAATGCTATCCTTCCTAATATCTTTCTATTTTGGAGAATCGTTTCTTCCCACATAGTGCATACTTACATCATATGTCATGAAATATTTTCATATCTCATATTAGAAGCTTTATTTTCTTGTCTCACACATTGTTACTATCACTACAGAATACTTACTGGGAAGGAGTGATATGCATAGAGTTCAGAGCACAGGTTTTGGGGTCACCAGACCCAGATTTGAATTTTGACTCTGCCTCTACTTCCGTGATCCTGAGCAAGTCGTTTATACATTTTGTGTATCCATTTTCTCCTCCTTAAAATAAGGTTAATGATAATCACATCACAGATTTATTGCAAGAATTAAAACTAATAACATTAATGTGTTAATACTGTGCTTGACACTGAAGTCCTTAGTAAATAATAATCATTATGATCTAAAAATGACAGTTCCTGTTATCCAAAGGTAGTAGTTCTTGTAAGCCTTCCAAAATAATCACCCATTAATCACTCTTTTCTACTTTGCCATTGCAAAGGAAAGAGGACTCACCTAAGATGCAATTTTGCATAAAATTCAATCATTTCTTCCTTTAAAGCTGATGTACATAACATTCTTGTGATAAAACATACTCTTCCTAGTCTTACTAGTTTGAACTTCTCTAGATTCCTTCCAGTTGCTACATTTTTATTCTTATCGGACTGTTAAGTGATCCTTTTATATTTTAAAATTATACTTCTTTTTGAGTGTGGAGCCATCTTTATAGTTGCTAATACATTTTCACTGAGTAAAATTCAGGTCACCTTTACTGACAGAAGCCAAAGCTACCTCAACCCAGTGTACTGAAAGACTTAGTGTATATGAAATGCTGCGTCCATCACCCTTCTATGTTCCAATGTTTTCTTTTATGTAGCAGATGATTAAGTACACTACCAACAACAGAAAACTTATTAAATTCTAGACTATAATTTTTTATAAGTTAAGATTTCTTGATTTAATATTTAGTCCCATTAGTATCTTACCAAACTTACTCGTGTTTACAGTTTCTTCTGCTGCCTTACAATTAGAGAGTAAGAAAATATTATTCTTTGTATAATATTTAAAATCTTTAAAAAATTTTTGTTTATTTAAAAAAAATTAAAGCTGTGGAATCAGCTGTCATTTTTCCCAAGTGTTTCAAATTGCTAAGCACCTTCTTATTTAGAAGAAATAAGCTATTAATTTGACTAGTCACTGAATAAACTTTGCAGAAAATTGCAGTAAGAGAAAGTTGCTATATTGCAATGAGTATGTTTTGATTGCAAATTTTTCTATAAGTGTGGCAATTTGCAATTTGAGAAGAATGTTACAGTAGCTGAGCTTTCAAAGTGTAACAGAGGGACTGTTGTTTTCTTCTACAATTAAAATAAGTGCTTCTGAAAATTTCAGGATAAGAATGACCCAAATTACCCTCCCCACACTGCTATATCCAAAGAGGGGAGAATGAAGTTTGAAGATAACATCTGTGGACAAAATGAAATGAAAGACAAATGGTCTTTTCAGGCACATGTTTGAAAAAGGGGATCTTTATAGCCATCCTGAGTATTTTAGCATGCATACGTATGGTTAAGAAGAGGATCAGCAATACTTTCATAATAGCCTTTTATTTTATCATATTCTGTTTTTATGGACTGAAATATGGTTTCAACACATCCATTCATAATTCCTCACATAATTTTTTGCATAAATAGCCTTTGACACAGATTTAATGTACTTTTGCCAGCTTCATCTTGAATTTAAAGTTAGACCATTAAATGCACTAAGCCAATCTGAGTGTAAGTATGCTAAAGGAAAATGGATAATAAAGAACATTTTCTTTCCTGCCCAGTAGAATAGGTTGTTAAAGCATAGAGCTTTAGTACATGGATTACTAGAAAAAAGATACCTGGCTTTTCCAGTCCCCAGACATAGAACTTCTTCCAGTTAAAAGTATCAGCTGTATCTAAAATGTATCCTGTACTCTCTGCTAGTATGTTTAATATTCATGCACTGGACCAATATTTATTGAGCATTTACTCTGTGCTAGGCCCTGTTCTAGACAATGTTTAAAATAGAATTGTCCATCTTTAATGGTGTTCATATTTGAAGCTAACAAACATAAGTATACTAATTACTTTAGAAAATGAAAAATGATAAGCAAAATAAAGCAGGTAAAGAGAAAGTGTTGAGGGCAATGGGAATAATATTTTTATTATATGGTAAACCATAGGAAGAATTTACTATGAAGTCTTGAAAGAGATAAAGGAGTGAACCATGACAGTATCTGAGTAAAGACCATTTCAGTCAGAGCAAACATCAGGGTTAAAAGCCCTTAGGAAAGATTGCACTTTCCATGGTCTAAGATCAGCAAGTGTGGCTGGAATAGAGTTAGCAAGGAGAAAAATAGGCAAAGGTAACTGGACCAGATCATGCAGGAACTTCAAAATCTTTGAAAGGAGGTGGGTGCTTATTTGTAGTAAAACGAGAAGCCATTGTAGAGTTTTATATGTAGGACTTAACATGACTCAAATCATATTTTAGTAGCATCACTCAGGGTCTTATGTTAAAAGTAGAGCAGGAAAACCATTGAGAAGGTATTTCAGTAATCCAGATGAGAAAGGATGGTAGTTTAGACCAGGACAGTATGAGGTTATAAATATTTCTGAAATACAGAACAGATACAATTTGTTGGTGAATTGAGCATGGGCCGTAAGAGAATGAAAATTTAAAAATGACTCTTAATATTTCCTACCTGAGCCACTAAGGAGGAAAAACCTGTGGAACTGCCATTCACTAAAGTACTGTATAGAAGACTAGAGAGGATCAGATTTGGTTAGCTGGTATTGAATATCAAGCCTAGTTTTGAATATATTAAATCTGTTGACTGTAGCTCAGTCAAGAAGACCTGACTGGTGATATTAATCGTAAGTTTCTAAACATCACAGCTTGTATAATATTCTTGGAAAGTTCAAATAACTTTTAGCCAGGTACTCACTGTAATGAACAGGAAGTGCTAGTGAGAGAACTAAACAATCAGGTGATTCTTTCCACATTAAATGCAAATATGAGAAGCTCACAAAAGTCCTTACAATAAATGTTGAAATAAAAACAGGAATCTCATGAATAGGGGATATTCAAAAGAACCAACACCAACTAAATAGCCTAGAAATATTAAATATTTTCAATGAAATGAACACTATAGACTGGAAAAAATCAGAGAAAGAGAATTAGGATATTGGAAGACAGAATGAATTCACCCGCAGAAATAGGAAAAGCTAATATATAAGAAAGACATATAAGTGATACATTAAAAGGTATCAACATTCATCTAAAGAATTACAAATGTGCAAGTAAAGACCATTTGAAGAGAGAGTGGCTGAGAATATTCATAATGCAGGAACACTTTCAGTGCAATCTAGTGAATGCTAAAAAAGGTTAATTATGATGTATTATAGCCTAGAAATATAATGAAAATGAGGAATATTAAGAATGAAGATAAAATATTTTGAAAGCTATAAAGAGGATAAAGACAGGTTATAACAAATGACAGTAATTACAGATGTTTTAAAAACAGCAATAGATACAAAAATAAAATTTGTTTAAATTATCAATAGTAAATTATTTTTAACTCAGAATTCTGTACTCAACCAAGCTATTATTTAAGAACAAATGATTTTTATATTTTCAGACACGACTCATATACTGCTCTGGAGAACTTTTAAAGAATGTACTTACAATTGAGCATGTAACTGGAAGAAGGGCGATCTGAAGTCAATACAAAAACTACAGAAATAAGATATATTGTAAATTTTCACTCTTAAGACAAGTACATTCATCATCATGAACGCAAAGATTACATAACTCTTTTTTTCAGTTCTTTTAGTATCCTATAATGATCAGCTGTGTTATCTGTTATAGCCATTTGTCTGTACTTAATGTTTTGCACTCATTAAATTTTGCACAATATACTTTCAAACTGAAAATTCATATAAGATAAATCTTATATGATATTGAATGAATATTCCTTATAATGAATATTCCTTCAGTGTCATAAATTTTTGCTTGAAGGATGCATAACAGCAATTGCTTATGACATAAGGAAACTTTCAGTGTAAAGAGCTTATTTGTATGAATAATGAACAGTTTTCAATGAAAATTTATAAAAGACCTTTTTATAGTATAAGAATATTTCAAGGGTCCCCAAATTCTCCTGTAGAAAAACTCATATAATTCTACTCACAGGAAGGCTTACTATAATGATGCAGTAAGGACAAGACATCTGTGGAATCTGAAGAAATCCATATGCAGACTTCCTGTGCTCTCTCCCTCCATGGCAGGATACAGAGCAAACTTTTTCCAGAAAGCTAAAATGTTGTACATAATTTGCATTACTTCTTCCCAAGGATGCCCGTTTAGAAACTCAGTAACCAAAGATTTTATCGAGCTGGTCATTTAGGCAGCTTTTATCTAGTAATTGCCAAAATTCCAGCAATTCCTAGAAGGAAGGCAATTATTCAATGCCTCAGGTGGGAAAACAGTATGTCATTTAAGGAAGCTTCCCAACAGTATAGTTAACTGTTCAGCAACCAAGTTCCAAGATGCTATGCAAGGCTCAACCCTGCAAACAGGACTGTAGGTTTCTCCACATTACATATCAAAGCATATAATTCAATTAATTTTTCATTTTAAAAATATCACGTGCCTTGGAAAAATAAAATCTCTCTTAAAAGTACCCTATTGTGATATTTACAGTATCTTCAAAACACATGTAAGGCTTCAGTTCATTGACTGATGGATTAATTTGTACTGAGTAGGAGTGCATAGGTATCAACAACATGTATATCATTTATACTCCATACTCATTATTTTTATGAAAGTACTAGATATTTATAGGAAAAGATAAAATATTTTTAAAAGAAAAGTTGAAAAGCATGTGTGTTTTTGTATAGATTTTAAAGTAGACCTACAAGTTCTGAGGAATAGCATACAAGAACAGGAGGTACATTATGTAATCTAATTTTTCCATGCTTTCTATTATCCATATAGCTTTCTAAAAACAAACCAGTCCCATCTTGTCATTTGTCAAAGTAATGAACTGTAAAACTAATGATTACTTGTGAAAACACAAAAGGAAAAAACTTAATCAGTAATTTTATGAGGGAAAATAACTATATTTAAATTAACTACACTTGAACACATTAGCCTGAGTTATTATTTATGCTACTATTTTGAAACAAAATGCACTGAAGCAAATCAACATAGCATGATGGGTTTTATCTTTTATACCTTCTCTCAAAAATTGGTTATAAATTTCATTAGCCATGAATGCTGCAAAGGTGGGTATATGTATAAATATATGTAACCTACATATATGCATGTTTATAGTGCTTTGACACTTGGGTGATTATTATCTCTAAGTTACATTGTATATCAACAAATTTTCTGACCCCTGTTTTTAGCCCAGCTAAAAAAATTTTCTAACCCCTGTCTTTAGACCAGCTAAATAACCTGTTAATAGTCATCCATAATTGATTAATTAGAATTATGTAAATCATACACAGAAAAAGAAAAAATTATGTAAGTAAAATACTATTTCATTAGTTAAGATATTAAATAATACTGTTTTATATAAAACCAAGATCAGCAAATTTTATGTAAATATAATTTAATTTCCCTTACTGATATATTGATACACTTTCATGAAGAGAATCTGTTAATTAAAATTCATTTTTGAGGAATATTTGTGAAGTAAAACAGACAAACTATATCTGTTCCCACTTGCCCAGCTAAGCATGTGAACATAATCTTATTACCCCTGTTCAATAAATGATCTAGCTTAGTAGACTAACTGGAGCCAGATTGATAGTCATTAATCAAGAGCTACACCAGTCAATACAATTGTGGGTTTTTCTCCAAACATATTGAGCATAAATGAAAGAAACAGGTAAGTTAACTAGGATGATTGTTTAGCTGGAAAGGTATGATGCAGGGAACATAGTTCAAGGGAACCATTATAATGATGTTCCATGGGAACAAAATGGGAGGAGTTAAAGGCATAAGGTGATCATTTTAAATGAATTAGATGCCTCAATATATTTTAATTGATAAGACAGTGGTATTAGACTATTTAAACAGTAGCTATTAGCAATAGTGGCTGGAGTGTGTTTAAGATATGAAACATGGTCATGGAAGTAAGTAGCTCAAATGTGGAAAGGTAAAGATAATTGGAAATCTACAGTAAGGAGTTAAGATTATGACATTATGTACATGAAGATTAGTCCACAACACAGTTATAGGAGTAGACATAAAAAGTGTTGAAATATTTGGAGACTAAGGGAGTTGGATGTGAGTGGGTATTAGCCATATTTGCTTGCCTAGTTCATAAGTTATTTGTGAGATTCAAATAATCTCTTGCAAAAGCACAGTAAACATAAAAAGGTACAAAATTGGGGTAGGGTGAGGTTAGTTTTATCAATGCTTCAAGCCTGATTTCTTTACCTATTAATTAATAGTAAACAGAATATCCTATCCTATTTCATAGGAGATTAGAAAGTTAAGTGACATGGTATATTAATTTATTTGAAGCTTAGGGGAGGTACTTTTCTAGCCAGGATTTAGTCTTCATCTAGCCTTGAAAGCTCCGTGTAGCCTGCTGGCATTCTGGATCACACTGAATACCAGATAACATTCATCTTTATCTTTGATTTCAGACATTTCAACAGTCTTCTCTACAGCACAAATCAAAGAAGAAAAATAAAGGTAAGAAATAGAAAGCTGTACCTGTTTACTTTGCACTGTGATATTTACTAGACCCCTTCACTCATCCTTTCTTATTTGAGCCCAAGTTGGTTTGGAAAAGCACAACTCTCTAGTACAAAGAGCTGCCAAGACCAGCTCCCCTTCAGTTCACTCCCCACTAAGTACCTTTTACAGTAAATGGTCCCAACATATTTGGATGCTGGGATACCACATCTCTGATAAAATTGTGTCACTTATGTGGAGGAAAAATAATTAAAGATTTCTGCATTTTTATATTCCAACCCAATCTAAAAATGTTAGGTTTTAAGGCTTAGAACTCAGACTTAATTAAACCTCTACATGTTTTTTTCAAAATTGAAGCAGCATTTTAACTTACTGTTATATTTAGGTCCCATAGCAGGCAAGAGCAAAAGAAGAATTTCTTGCAAGGATCTTGGCCGTGGTGACTGTGAGGGCTGGCTTTGGAAAAAGAAAGATGCAAAGAGTTATTTTTCACAGAAATGGAAGAAATATTGGTTTGTTCTAAAGGATGCATCCCTATACTGGTATATTAATGAAGAGGTAATGCAGTATACATTTTGTGTTCTCATTCACTTCTATCTTTAAACAAAAGTATCACTATTTTGCGATTGATATTTAAAAATCATGCCACCTTAAAACCAACTCAGGAGATTATTCTAGTTACTGTTTTAATCTATCCTCTTTTTTAATAATTAAATTTATTGGTACATTTTAAATATACATTGCATTTGGAGACTGTGGAAAAATAATTTTCTCAGTTTTTATAGTGAAGGAATATATCTGAAGCACTGATAAAGGATGATAAAATTATATGTTTCTAACTGAAAATACCAAGCAAATTCAAGCTGTAGCTTAACTAAAAGGACTACACATGAAAATTTAATATAGATTTTTAGATGTCTTGCTTTTGTTTAAAGTTGTACATTTCTTCTGTTTTCCCCACAAGAATGGAACTCTTTAGTAACGTATATAAATTGGTATCATCTGAATTTGTTTTTCTTGACAAACAATGATTTCTGCTGTTAGCTTATCAGGAAATGTACATGACTTAATATGTTAAAGTCTTTTAACAAATACTGTTAAGACATTAATTTTTATTTGAAGATTAATTGTTGAAATATAATATAACATTATTGTGCTTGTGACTACAACATATAGTATCTAGAGTATTGTGTTTGCTAAACAAGCTGTTATAATGTCACATCACATTATCTCATGTCACATGGGTAGGCTTAGGAATCACACCACCCAAATTACTGGGCTTCAGCTTCTTCTTCTGTAAAACAGAAGTATGAATGCCTACATTACTGAGCTATCATATGGATGGAATCAATAATTGTAAAACCCACTTAGAACAGTGCCTACCTAGTATATTCTAAGTGCTCAAGCAGTTTGCTAATAGTAAAATTTTTCAAATTGAAATTTTATCTGTAAAATCTTGAATTATTATTTTTCTATTTAATATACTTATATGTATTATATATACAAAATGATTTGATTGGCTTTGTTCTTTTGATATTGTTTTGGCAATCATGCAGTAACCTAAAACAGTGATGGCAAACCTTTTAGACCTTTCAGTGATATAAACAGCCTGGTGTGCATGCAAGCCATAGGATTGCTACCACTGACCTAAAATATCCACTGATTCAAATGTCTTCATTTAGCTACAATAAGCCTTAATTTTACCTGTATTTTAACATAATAGATACATTAAATACTTTTTGTATGTCAACCAGATAATAGATTCAAAATCTTAATGTTATATAAAAGCTATTCCAAATAATCTAAAACTATCTTTGGTAAGCCCGGTTAATCATTATGTCCCTCCTCCTGGTCATGACCAAGTCATTAGACTTTTACTTAACCAAAATTGTATTTGATCTGTGCTATACCAGTCCATAGAACCTTAAATGTCAAGATCAAATTAGTTACATTCTCATCCTATTTTTTTCAATCCAGCATTAAAAGGAGCCAAGTTTTATGGATTTTGTTTTTTCCAGATGAAAAAATCACACACACATACACACACACACACACACACACACACACACACACACAACTTACATCCCAAGTAAAATATTTGAAGATCATATTGATGTATTTCATTTGTAAATTCATGAATATACAAAACAGTGATCATACCATTAGAAAAAATTAATATAGAAACATTAATATAAGAAAACTGTTGGAAGGAGAGTGGAAATTGAATCAGTAAAGTTTCTGTATTTTATATCTGAACATTCAGTAAAATAGAAAATCATGTATTGAAAGGTGAACTACAGTTTATTTTATATGTTATAAATATATTTATACCCTCTGACCAGAACTTGTTTTTTGTTTGTTTGGGGATACTAGTATTTGAATCCAGGGCCTTGCAAATGCTAGGCAAGTGCTTTACCTGTGAACTGTACTCACAGCCCCAAAAAGATTCCTGTAAAACATATCTCAGTTTCAGAACTAAAATAGTTTAATATAAGAAGGATTTTTAACCTTTGTATAATTTTAATTTGTAGTTTTCTGAATGTTCAAAATACCTTCAAGCCAGGTGTAGTGGCACACGCTTGTAATCCCAGCACTCAGGAGGCTGAGGCAGGAGAATCATTGTGAGTTCAAGGACATACTGGGCTGCATAGTGAGTTCAAAACCAGCAGGAAGTATATAGTGAGGCTCTGTTTCAAAAAGTATATATATAATTTCATAATATGCCTCCAATTTATGAAATGTAACTGATAAGAGTAGCGTTGTATTCTCAAATGTCGAATTGAAGGAGTTACATGAGAAAATTTAGTAGTATAGATATTCAAGGCATGGTTACACAATAGAATTTACTTCAACCCTTTTTATATAATAGCCTAAACAAGAATCTTACTTCCTTAGGATGAAAAAGCAGAAGGATTTATCAGTCTGCCTGAGTTTAAAATCGATAGAGCCAGTGAATGCCGAAAAAAATAGTAAGTTTATTTTATTTGGGAAGCAAGAGGGAAGGGAAAGGGTGTTTGTTTATTTGTTTGTTTGAATTTGCAACTTTTAAATTATAAGTAGCTTATGTAGTGCTTTCAAATTGAGCTAATAAAGTAGTTTTGTGCACAGAAAATTTAATTTTTTGTGGTTTCTGTCATGATAGGAACATTCTAATGTGAACTCAGATTACATATTAAGGTGAATTTTATTCATATTATTTTTACTTATTTCCTAATCTGTAAAAAATAAATGTACCGGGGCTGGGGATTTAGCTCAGCAGCATAAGCACCTGCCTTCCAAGCAGGCGGTCGTGAGTTCGATCCCCGGTACCGATAAAAAAATAAAATAATAATAATAATAATAATAATAATGATAATAATAATAATAAATGTACCTTACTTTTTTCAGTGCATTCAAAGCCTGTCATCCTAAAATCAAAAGCTTTTATTTTGCTGCTGAACATCTTGATGACATGAACAGGTAAAATATTGCTTAAATTTCAAAATATATATGCAAACTTAGAATTCTATATTTGCTACAATAATAGTTAGAGGAAAGCGTCTGAACTTTCTAGATTGATTAGTTTAAAGTAAAATGGAACCATCTACAGTTCCATATGACCATACCTAAGTTCAAAGAACAGTATTTATCGTATTTATATCGTATTATAAACCCTAAATATACACTTTATTTTGAAAAATAATGACCTTTAAAAAATCAGACTCATTGATTATTTGTCAAGTTTATCGAAAAGTTACCAGAGTCCATGTATAGGCTAAAAAAATTCTATCACTGAAAGAATTTTTCAAACTTCATTTCAAAAATGGCTTAAAATTTATTCATAGGTGACCCCCCAAAAAGAGTATGAATAAGCTAACTTTTTAAGTGGGAAGTATTTTATACAGAACATGAATCTCAGTAATTCAGGCCTCAGCCAATTTTTTTTGTCACTGAACAGGGCCTTACAGCCAACTGATTAGAGGACTCTGTGGTTATTTGTATATTCTGCTTCATGTCTAAACTTTAGATTTTATGATTTTTTTCCTTCTCTTTCCTTTACTTACCTTTTTCCTTTAATAAAATCATAGAAATTAAGCTTAAGATTCAAAATTTCTCCTCTCTGTAGTTTTAGCAACCAATGTCCATTGTATATATAACCTGCCTATAGTTAGGGAAGGCAAGGATAGTATAGTGGACAGAAGCATGTGACTTTTTAATTTAATTTTAGTTTATTATTACATGTATACAGTACATAATGTTTACATTCTGTGTGGAGAGTTGGTACATTCTCATACCATCTTAATTCCTCCTGACATCCCTTTCCTCCACCTTGCCCTCTTCTACCCACCTCTCCATCCTCTTCCCACCATCTCTTGATCCCTTTCCCCTTTTGTACATGTTTTAGTATATAATTTTTATACATCTGGTGTGAAGTTGCTACATGTACATAACACAACCAGAGAACTAGGAGCATGTGGTTTTTGAACCAGACTAAGTCCTAGTTTTACCATGTAGTAGCTGTGTGACCTGGGACAATGAACTTGGCCCCTTCATTATTTCAGAGTATTCAATGGCTGTGTGGGGATAATAACCATCTTAATCCCAACTCTACCAGTTACTAGCTCTACAAACTTAGGGAAAAAATTTAAACTCAATGTGCTAGGTTATTAGAGGAATAATAACTATCACTATCAATAGGATTTTTATGAGTGGTATATAAATTTTAAGTGCAACATAAATATTCACTATCCATATATATTCCTTTGTGTACTTCAACTTTTTAGCATAATAACCTTTCTTCAGATGTCTCTAAAAAATAATATCTGAGTATTGTAAGCACAAAATTTGTGTAGCTTTATAAATATGCTTGAACAGACTAAATGAAAACTTAGTTCAGTACTATAAATAATTTTGTTTTTTGATACTCATGCGTACAAGCATGTGTTTTTCAAACAAGGATATTAGTATAAGGAAATAGCAAAGAAGGAAGGGGTTGAGAACCCTTGATTAAATATTTTATTAGTAAAAGTACTACTCCTTTCCTGTAGTTTTCATAATCTTCTCTAGATTTATTTAACTTACCATTCTTGAAATTTCCCACCAGGCCGTTGGAATTGACAGAGCTTTTCCCCTTGTTCTCAAGATAAAAATGTTTGTTCACATGCACATAGTAGCGGGAAGGTGTAATACTTTATTTTATGTCTTGTCTTATAATGTTATTGTTCTAGGTTCTCACTATCATTTTACCACATGTTTAATGACCTTGGGATAAATATGAAGGGTTTATATCATGATCAAATTGAAAATAAGTGTCATACATAAAGCATATAATGTCTTAGAAGATGGATACATTAGATTCCATTCACTAACTCTTTAAGAAATAATTTGATCACTTGTGTTACATGCTGATGAGGACCATTTTATGCTTAGAAATTACCTGCTTAAAATGCATTTTTATAAACTATAAAACCTTTCTAAGTCTC